ATAGACAAAATACACTATCTGGGAGAGTCGACTGCTACTATAAATCCCTTACAGCAGCTCTGCTAGCTATGTAATGAACCTGCAGAACAGATGCACAGTAATGTTCGAAACAATTATGATTTATTTCTCCTGACAAGCTAGAATGCCATAATATAACAGGCAAAAGAGATATACTGTAATACATTGCTTGTTTTTTAAAGCCCTCATAGTTGTAAGATCTCAATATATTAGTCATTAACGTCTATGTGATCAATTACCTTTCTCTGTACCTCTCTTTGCTGTATGTGAAGAGTTGCAAGGTTTTTGTATGTCACAACTATTTATATCCACAAAACCTAATAAAAGCCTCACAGCTGCCAAAACTGAGAGCTTTCCCAACCCCCCTTCAGTCTCAAAGGATCAGACATTAATGAAATAGTCGCAAATTAGCCATAACTTTCAAAACTTGATCAAAGCATCAAAAGGAAGAAAAGTTTGTTTTGATATTTAACTGGTCAGCTAACTTTTTGTTCAAGGAAATTCCTCCAGCCCCTTCCCTGCTCCTTTCACTTTAAGTGTAGTGACTGAGTAGAGGTCCATGGGAATTTTAACCCTGTGAACTACAGGGCTAAGACATCAGTAATAACAAAATAGTGACATAGCAGAACTTTAATAATTGAAAAAAATATATTCTTCTGTATAATATCTGCACACTTTTTTACTAGTTAACCTTTGTTTTTGTTACTCATTTATATCCAATCAAATTTTATGTGTGCTGGATAATTGCGTATGAAAATGTTTCTTCGTTTCTTCTTCTAAAAAAGAAAGGGTAAAGGGTCTTCCATTTGATTATTATTTATGATAAAAACTCAAATTGCTCATTTAGTAATGAGGACAAAAAGCCCCTAAGTCGTCAGTATTTGAATAGGTCATAAAATGTGAAGCACAAGGAAGATCCTTCACTAAGAACACCACTGATCTACCCAGCATGCACTCAGTTTTGCCACATCATGACTCAACCTCATGTTTCCAATGCAGTCTTAGAGATTCCACCCGTACATGAAAAATACAGAGAAACATTCCTTCATAGGAAGTGTAAAGGTATCATTATGGTAATAGCTAAGTCTGGTAAGTAGAATATATATGGCTCAGAAGGATAGGGTGTCTGTGGACACTACTGTACATGAGAAAAGAAAAAAAATGAAGATGTGTGTTTAATGTTTTTTTTAAATATACATTTGCAACTGAAGGACTAGGAAGTGTTCTTTTCATGGTTCTTTAAACACTTAAAAACAGTTGTTTTATGGAGGCAAGACATGGTTTTGTTGTAACAGAAACAGAAAATATACTGTACCTACAGTACTGTATCTCTCTAACACAGATCATTTTTTTATGTTTGCCAAGAGTTTTGTGACCTTTTTAATCTAATGGAGGTTCTGAAAAACTGATTTAGTTTTGCAAGTTTTGCTATATAGTGATTTGTTCTGTCAACTTTAAGAATGTTCAAAAATATAACCATTTTTTTCTTTGCTCCAGTTTGCCAGTGTCTGTCTGACAATTCTTGTAAATTTAAATGTTGTTGCATCTGACAGATCAAAAATCCTACTTATAAAAGGGCTGATAGATAAAAAGAGGTCCATTCAATCAGTCTAAATTAATAAAGGTCTTATAAATCTGCATTACATTGGTATGTAAAAACATTTGGAATTCACACTAATTATTGCTTTTAAATGTTTAAGACCATTTATGCATTTATATTGTATGTTCATTCTGTTTTATTCTGTAAATCATTCTGTAAATTATTCAGCAGGACCTAAAGCCTGAACCAAAACAGAAATGTAAATCTATGTATTCTTTTTAGAAAATGCAAACCTGCTGTTTGATAAAATATTTCCTTTTTGTAGAAGAAGTGCCAGGGCTATTTTGTCAATCAGTGGGTGTGTTGTGGTTTCAGTTGTAAATTGATGAAACATGACATGAACGTCTGTTCATGAATATTTCTACATAAAATTCTTGTTATAAATGGTGTCTTATTAGGAACTGCTCTCCTGTTCTCCAAAACCTCATCTGATTCAAGGAAACTCAACAGCAATAATATAGTGAATACACAGCAACGGTTTCTTCCATTGCTACCAAAATATTTATCCTTCTGTAGAGCACAAATGAAAACAAATAATGCCATTAGTTTGAAAAAACAAAAAACTACAGAAGAAGCACAAAGCAGTGGATACATTATAGTAGTTTGTATACTGTACCATTAAGAACCAGCAGAGGGCTATGTAAGTCATTTTGAGCCGAGTGCTGTTCTAATTTATGAGAGGGTTCAGTAAATAAGATAAGTTAAGTTGCTACCTGTAAGGAATCACCATTACAATTAAGAGAGCAAATCAGCATCAATCTACAGGGCACTGAAGGACAGTGTGGGTATTTCGGTGTCTGTTCTGGAACACAAGATTTCTTGGTGTACTGTAAGTCTTTTGCAGCTCCACCCATTTGCTAACTTTTAATAGACCAACTTAAATAACATTTGTTTATCATATTACTTAGGCAACACAATGTATTTAAGGAGGTAGCAGCTGACTGTCATAAAGTCCCATGATTCAAAAACATAAAAAAAAAACACTTATGGCTATACTTGTAATTCAAATGCACAAAAAAAGCCCTATAAGGTTATGAATCAAGTAAACCATTGCAACAGCTGGAAAGGACATTACATTGCTAAGGCTTTCACAGGATAATTTCAGAGTGCTGTGGCTATATTCTGCACATTATGTTTATTTAGTCTGTAATACTGTACATTTTATTCAGTATTACAGACTAAATAAACATAATCTTGACCATTACGCCAGTGTTGGAATTGATAAAAAAGATTCCCTTCCTAAGCAGTACAAAGTATCTGTTGTTGTTCTAAAGTGCTACAGTTCAGGGTAAATTGGGCAAAATCCTGTACTTAACGATATGAATATCACTCAAATGCAGTGAATCAGGCTGTACTTGAAAGTCGTAAATGAAACCTAGTGTCAGATGTTTTTGAAAGTTTAGTATACACCTAAAAAGTTTGTAATTCATTGAAGGAATGGCAGCATTGCCTCAATCTCATTCATTCAGACTCCCGGAGAAAACATGACCAAGCTACCACATCCACTTAGGAAACAGAAGGAAAAAGGGACTGAATATATTTCCAAAGAGGAGTTGTCTGGAATGCAATGTAAAAATCCAAGATCATGCTTTTACATAAAAACAGGTTTTCTCTGGGAGAATATAATGTGGTTCTGCTATAGTGTCTGTCACAATTGCCAGAACATTTGTGAAGTACTCATGATTTCTTCATGAGGATTAAAGCTCAAATATTAAGCAAGTCTGCAGAAGAAAGAAGACGCACAATTATTTTCTACTGCTAATTTTAGCCAGCATGGTAGATCATTTCCTTAGTCTGTGCTGCAGAGTTTTAGAACTATTATCAGAACTCTTACTCTTACAGTTTGAAATCTTTCCACAAATAACTAGATGAATATTTTCAGGTAGCTGTGATGAATAGACAGGAGCCGATAGCTTATCATTTAGTCAGCTTTCTTCACATTTTAAGTGAGACTTTCATAATAAATGAGTGCTGTCATTAAAAATATACTGCATATGCCAAACAACTCACAATAATGTAGGCAATAGTTTTCTATGTTAGGTGTTAAAATTGCATGGCCAATATCAAAGTGTGCTCTGGTAAACATTGAAAAATGTTCACATGTAAACTAGGCGAAAAACAGGAGAAAGGTTACTTTTATTAGTTATGGTTATTATTAATTAAATAATTAAAATACAGTCAGTTCTTCCATGTGAGCCATAACATTTCAGAAACCTATTCATAATTCAGAGAGGCATGATCTTTAGAATTCTCTTGACAACATTATATCCATTAAAACTGATTATGTTATAAAATGCTCTAATATTAATGTTGTTACTGCATAACAATAAAACCTGTGACCCTCCAAAGGGAATTAATTAGAATAGAAAACATAGTGGGAGAGAATGAAAGTAACATTTAAATAGCCCCATAAACAGGTTACAGAACAACTCAAGTACCATTCCTCTCCACCTAATTGACAATAAGAGCAGCCTGACAAGTATTTATCCATGATTAAACAGAAAGACTGTTGTGCTTCACAGACTTTTTATGACCAGAGGCCTTTGACAGCACACCGGCTAAATAATAATATAACCTGATTAACTGTTACATTGCAGTTTATTATCAGTGGAATGGCAAGCTTTTATAAGATTTTTCTGAGTTCTACATTTCACCAGTTTAAGTGGCTTCAACAAGGCTGTGAAATCATTTTTCAGCAAGTTGCTCATTTTATTCTACCCACCAATAATAATGTTGCTACTGTAGTACAGGAATGCTCTGTGTACTTTGAAAAGCACAAAAGGATAATTTGATAATTAAGTGAAACATCACTTGAATCACCTAACACTGCATCTCATTGTAACCTACTCACAAAGAGAGAATAGTTGTACTTTAAGATACAGACTAAATTTTTCCATTTACCCACTGCTGTAGCTGCAGAAGCAAAGCCTGGCTGCTGTAATGAATGAACCTTTGATAGCCAGGTTGTGAGCACTTCAGTTCCCTCTTTAACACTTCTCCACTGTCTAAATCAGCCGCTCCAGCTGAACATAATTTCCTGTGCCAAAGATGCCCTGTGAGAATACATACTTCCAAATGCTCTAACCTGCTTTAAACTTTTTTTTTATATGTGCCCTTTTTATCTATAAAAAATTGAAATACTTAAGTCAATTTTATAACCGTTATCTCGAGATATATCACCTGACTTCATGTATTTGTATTTTACAAATATTATGAGACAACCAAACTCAATTTTGGATTTTAGCTCACTGATGGGAACTGTTATTAAAGTATGCAGATGTCCTTAAGATATATATGGAACAAAGTTCTGCAGCAGCTGCACTCCTCTGTCACAAGAGTATGTTAATAGATCTTAATGGTCTTGCTAGTTTCGTGCACTTACCTCCAAAGCTGGGCCCTGCCAGAAAAAGCAGTGGCAACAGAGAGCACAGAGCGAAACACGGGGACTTCATGTTAGCATGTAACTCCAGCTATCATTTTCCATTCAGAGAACTTGTTTCCAGTTGAGGTTAGAGCGCCGCTACGACAACGTCTCTTGAAAGGGGCTGGATATGAGTGTGCTGAAGTGACGCCTCCAGACTCTCCTCCCCACCCCACCCCACCCCAGTCCCTTTACCACCCTCCCCTCCTCAGACACCCACGAAGTAATGACTTCTAGAGAAACATGCCAGAAACAACTGTCTCTCATATTACATGGGCTGTCTGCTCTTAAAGCAGAAGGGACCCCTTTTACTCCTGCAGGGGAATAAGATTAGGCTTTAGAAAGCTGGTTTAAAACTGAAATCGTCCACCTGAAATGAAACTGCACTTGCAAACAAGTTTAGGAGAAAGAGTACCAAACCATCAAAGAATATGACTGTGCAACTTACAACTTTCTGTCAAATGATACTCAACAAATATTTTCCAGACGTGTTTTTTTTCTGAGCGTTTTATAAGGCAACTATTTCAAAGTAGCTCCAAGGCATGTTAGTGGTTCTTCTACAACAGGACTACGTGGGGCCAAGATGATCTTGAAGTGGCAGCGTTTAAAATGCTCTGGGTCAAACACAATATACTTATGGTCTAAGTAAATTTCCTTTATGATGACCCACTTTTTAATTCAAACAATATTAAAATGCATTATACATTATATTGCATATTAGCTTCTTATTCCATTCTTTAGAATTATAGATAGTGGATTTTTTATTGCACTATGGCACTGTTATATGTTCATTAAAGTTATTTTGTTCAAATTTAAACTTAATCTTCATTTAGTGAATAAATTATTATTATTTTGTTGAATACATGCAGATCCAAAAAATCCAAATCTCATTTCAGTGGATTCGATGTAACTTTAAAGTCAGTCAAGCCTATAATTTTAGGCTGACAATTGATAGCTTTTATTGTTACAAGAGTCCTTTCTTAACCTCCATGCCTTCTCGGCACTGTCCTTCCACAAACTGTTATACCAGCTTACAGTACATTTATGTAAAGTATCCGAAATTTACATTCAGGCATAATTTAGCTGCTTATAAAAGGGATAAAAAGACTTAAAAAGAGGACTTCTTAGGTGAATAGTTTACAAAACATGTACTGCCAAGAACAAAATAGGAGGTTACTAAATGCACCCTCAAAAGTTAATTGAATTTACCTCCAGATTTTGTTGCTAGTAGAGTATATGTTTGAGTATTTTTAGCTGTTTAAAGCTCATATGAATCCATAGGGCTATCGTAGTCAGCACATTGTTTGAAGCCTTCCTGCTCAACAAAACAGTACATTACTTATTTTTTCTTCTACCCCAAAGTTTTAGTGATGTGATTTTTTTTCTCTTTGCTTTTATGTCTTTTCCTTTCTGAAGCATCTCTTCATCTGTGCTTAGACACATTTGGAATGACTGACTATAGAGTGGGTGTGACAGTTACAGATGACCTGCCATTAGAGGCCGCTATACTGTATCTTCGGCTGCCTCTAATCTTTGTAGTTCAATGCTCAATTGCCATAACAAATAGTCACATGGAATTTCGTTTGGTGGTCTCATACAAGCAATGAAGGATAAGATCAGAAATGAAGAAATCCGTAGACGATGTAGGGTGGTGGATATGGTTGAGAAGATGCGAGAGGCGAGGTTACGGTGGTATGGACATATCATGAGGAGGGACGTTGAGGAAGTAACAAAGAGGGTAATGGAATTTGAGGTGGAAGGTAACAGAGGAAGAGGCAGGCCTAGAAAGAGATGGATAGATTGTGTGAGAAAAGATATGGAGGTATGTGAAGTGAGTGAGGAAGATGTGCTCGACAGAGACAAATGGAGAGCAACCAAAGCAGCTGACCCCAGGACAGTCTGGGACTAAGGCTGTGAAAAAGAAGAAGAAGAAGAAGAAGAAGAAGAAGACAAATACAGACGGCATCCACCCAACTCATCTTCACATACTGTACCAGTCTCAATGTACATCAGTAATAAAGTAAATAACAGTGAGAGGTAGAATAATACTGAGCTGTGCATAAATTTCAGAATTAAAGTGCCGAGTTTATGCATCTCACAGGTAGGAACTGTTACAGAACCCAGGAGTCCTTGTCTCAGTAGAATTAAACCGCCTACCAGAGGAGAGGAAAGTAAACAGGAGCAGGGTAGGATGGGCAGGATCAAGAGGGTCTTTAGAGTTTTATGTTTCAGTCTAGGGTGGTAGAGTGAGTCTACAGTGCGAAGATTTTGGAGATGATATACAGTACTCTCTTTAGCTGCTTCCTGTCCTTGTCCACAGTGTCAACAGTCCATAGTGATGGAGAAGGTCAAAACACTCAATGACAGATCTGTAGAAGAGTGTGACACTCCAAACTTCTTTAACCGTCTCGGAAAGAACAGCCTCAGGCAAGCTTTCTTGACCATGATGGAAATTGTTATAGTGGGTGTTAATTGCTTAATTATTGGATAGTTGGCAAAAGGTTGATCATTTCACATTCTTATGTGGGTGTAGTTAGACTTGTTTGGTATATTAAGGGTGTGTTTGAGGCTAGTGGTGGGGTTTATTGAGGTTATCTTTTTTTTGTCAGAGCCTGAAAGGCCTACAAATATAAAATTCTGGAGTTTGCTTAGTGGCTGTCAGGAGTTTGTGCACAGACCCTTGGGACATCCCTGCTTAGGGTCTGTCGAGTAGTTTCAAGCTTTTAGTGTAAAAAAAAAATTAAAAGTAAAAAAAAATATGTTTCTACTTAATGTCATGCTCAAATATTTTATCAGTTATTTATGCCTTCTGAATCATAGTTTCTATGCAAACAGAGTCAAACAAAATGAAAAAAAAAATACTCTATAGAAAGAGATTTTTGTGTCCTGCAGTGTTACCATTCCTATGCATTGTTTTGCATTAATCCACTCAGCGGTTCCAAAGATGGAGAGGAAAACACTTTCAACTCCATTGTTTCTCTAACACTACCATTTCAGAGAAACAATGTAATTAGGGGGCAGAAGCTCAAAAGAATGTTTGGGGTTTTGCAGCTGTCTACAAATGGAAAAGACTGAAAAAATAACCTGTAATGAGAGAAAGAATGGAATTACAATGTTTTGAGGGACCCACAATGATCTCATTGGATTAGGCTCTCAGAGGGGAAGCGATCTGAAAAAAATGCAGATTATATTCTCTGAATTTTTAGCAGTGTACATGAATATTCTTTACGCCAACTTTTTCCCTCAAAGATTAAACAAAAGTCTTTACATGAAGCAATTTTTTCAGTGGACAAAACATTAAATGCTAACAGTTCTTGGATTTCAGTACTGTCTTTTCAGTCAAAGCAGACCAGTGGCATGCATTAATAAATCTGAGCACAGCAGGACAGTAACTCTGAAATGCCATATTCCAGAGATCTGGTCCCGGAGAGACACAGCCCTGCAGTTTTCATAAGGAGCCTTGAATGAATTAGGCAACCACTTGACCCAATTAAGTCATTTGGAGCTCTGGTGGATTGAAATCCAGAAGATATTATGCCTTTCCAGGACCAGTATTATGGACTCCTGCCATAATCAAATTTTGGCACAGTGACTGCTGTTTGCTGAGTTATGAGTGAGGACTTCAGAGACCTCATCTGCAATTCCTCGCATAAACTGATGAATCAAGGAAAAACTGTCACAGCATGCAGCACTGAAACATAATGAACAATAGCTATAGTATATATGGAACACCTTGACATGTATATCTATAACATTAATAATCATTCTTTGCATTTGTGTAATGGTTTTGCATCCTAAAGAATCTCAAAACACCTTACACATACTGTAGGAGAGGATGCACTCCATACACCAATGAAAAGCATCACTTACCTAGGCATGGCCACCATTATGTGCTAGCAGCCCCACTCCACAGCAGGTACCACAGAGAAATAAACCATTACTCCTCCCTGTTCATCATATTGGGACATTGGTTTTTTAATACTTGTGCGGAGGAAATAGTGCTACCTAATTGTCCTCTGACAACAGCAATCTGGTTTTCCTTGGAGATCTCACATCCCAGTATTGATGAGACTAGTAGGGTGCTGATACTCCTACCTGAATATACTGTACAACTACTAAGTTTTTGGTTCTTTTTTCTTTCTTGAAAAGGCACATACAAGTTATTAAACTAATGATAATTTCAGACCTTCTTTGACCTGATGAACTTTATCATAATGTTGCCAAAATACGTTGCCTTGCTAAATGACTTCTTAGTTAAGGCTTGGTTGAGGCCAATTTGAAAGTCAAGTAGATCATTCCCCATTTTGAACAAATGGTGAGGCCAACTGTATGATTCCTACAGGATCATAAACCAAGAAAACTGATCTTCTTTGATGTCACTAGAGAGAAAACCTTTTGTTATATATTATTGTCACCCCTGACAAAATATGTATAAACTTTAAATCATTTGGAGGGTGTTTTAACAAAGAATGATATTGTTTTATTATGCAGATTTACACATTTCAAAATGGTTTTATTGAAAGCTAAGAGATTGCAGAGATTTCAAGCATTTGTTTCTTGTTTTAATTATGGAATAGTGTATTCTGTGAACATTATTGCAGACTAAATGACATCAAGTGATAACACAAAGAATTTACTGAAATGTTTTGGTTCGTAAAAAAACATTCTCAGGGATTTCTTTGTTTCACAGGAAATTACCTCTGCATAGAAATGGATTGATTTTTTCTTTTTAAATTGCCTCTGGTAATTAAATTAACTGCAAGCATTGAGGCACTGTCTGTCTTTTCATTGGAAGGCTGTCAGGTCAAGAGTTATTTTACAGTAGCTGTGCTGTATTTTAATTTTTCCTGATGTTTTTCTCATAGTGTACTCATTAAGGCATGCCATTTTTAAATACAACTTGTATTACAAGTTGATTCTAAGCTTTTCTAGTTCATTTACAAATGAGCCTTTTGCAATAAATGCCAAGGACCTTCAGTGGTTCCCTGGATGTAAGTTATTAAATATAAAATTGATTTTATCATCATGGATAGCTAAAAAACAAAAAAATCATACTACATACCTGTGATCTGTAAAGAACTTATCTTAATAGCTATTAATTTATTCACAATTAAA